AGATGGCGTATTTCACTTGTAATTCATATACGAATTTTCTTTTATTGAGTTTCATTTTTGAAAGCCCTGGAGAATTTTAAACAAAAATATCTCAAAGAAAATAACGATCCAAAAGAAACATAAACTTTATTCTTTTGAATACACGAATATATAAAAAAAAACTTAACTCTAAACCGTTTCTTTGATGCCTATCAATTACAAATAACCTCAATTCATAAACGTCAAATGTCAATTCATATCAATTGCCCGTAAGCTCAATTCATGAACGTCAACTGTGAATTCCTATCAATTGCCCATAACCTCAATTCATAAAAGTCAAATGTCAATTCATATCAATTGTCTACAACTTCAATACATAAATGTCAATTCCTATCAATTACCTATATCCTCAATTCATAAACGTCAAATGTCAATTCATATCAATTGTCTACAACTTCAATACATAAATGTCAATTCATATCAATTGCTCATTACCTCAATTCATGAACATCAAATGTCAATTTTCTACAACTTCAAATCATAAACGTCAATGGTCAATTATCTACAACTTTAATTCATAAACGTGAATTCATATCAATTACCCATAACCAAAAATTAAGAAACGTCAAATTGATTGCTAATTGATTTTATATATTTTTTAATTAATTTTCTGTCCCAGGTTTTTCATTCGTATGCAAAGTTTAAAGTTAATGACGTACAGCACACCCACACACACACATTCGCTTTTTAATTCCGCACCGAGACTCTCCGCTGAATTATATTAAAAACGACGTGATTCGGACCTCTGGACATGCAAAAAGGGAGGGAAATTTGTGTAGGATGCGGGCAAAAAATAATTAAATAAAATATTGTGTGCGCGCACTGGGGAGGCATTAAAGTGGATAAATATGAGGAGTGCACGTTTCAATTATACTTTTTTAATAGTTTCGAGAACGACCCAAACATTCTCACAATATTACTACATTGTTTATTTTATTATTAAAATAAAATTTAAACAAAATTTACTACTTTAAACTATGGACATTCTTTATAAAAAAATATAAAATATTAAAAATTTGAACTGAAAATGTTATTATTATATATAGAAAATCAAGTAATTGTTATATGCAGTCGCTTTTATTTCCATTGTTGATTAGTAATTAACGAGCGATAAATGAAACTAATCATTTTTTTGGGGCATCAAATCGAATTTAGGTATAATTGCATATAGAAATGCAATGAAATAGTGATGTTAAATTTTGTTATGTTGGATCCACACATCAATGTGACAGGTCTACCAACATTACATTCTTTGTTAATTAACTGACATTTATGTGTCCATTCTTGCATATGACGTAAATGCATCAGAAGTACCAACTGCTATCACATTGTACAATTTTATCTACTAGTGACATTAGATATAATGACAATCAATAACTGTTGGTACAACTGACATTTATGTCTTCTATCAAACTTAATATGTTATGTCCACACTATGTGCAAAATGTGACATTAAAGTATCTACTAATTACATTAGATCCTTTGTTGATTAATGACAGTTGGTAGCACTGAAATTTATGGTGCGGATGCACCATTATTCGTGCAAATCGTTTTTATGTTAATATAATTTACATACTAATCCGTTTTTTTTTGGGCGAAATCCGTAATACCTCTTGTGAACCCTTTTAAGGGAAACATAAACATTTAGATGGAGCCACCCTTCAACCCATTTATGTATTTTTATTTTTCACCCGAAATATGTAGGAAACAAACAGAAAGGGCGGTCGCGTTTTACGTCCGGCCGCATCCGAGCGCACCGAAAATAACCCATAACAATAATAAACTGCTCAAAGGGCGTGCGCCCTTTTTTTACAAAAAAAAAAAAAAAATAACCGGAAAAATCTCTCTTCCTCTACGAAGCATAACTCTAAACGAGGGTGCGAGATGTAGCGGAAACCAGAAAAGGTGTATTACAATAAAACAACCGAAAAAAAAAATATAATGGTCTCCACACCCTCTCCATCTTCCGCCCTTACGTAAAGGTGTTCATCTAAAAGGGACCGAAATGCACGATTTTTATTTCAACGCATAACGAAAATGTGTTTTCGTTGTCAGTCGGAGGAGTAACGACTTCATAAATCTTTAATCGGGTTACATAAAGTAAATAATCCAATTAGAATTTTATTATTTGGCAAATGATGTAGAAAATCGCTGTCACATTTGACATTTCGATAGAAATTCCACTCTGTCTGATATATCGAAAAGAAGAAACGCATAAATCTTTACTAGAAATTCTCAATTTTAGTATTGTGTATTTATTTGCAAAAAATGTAAAAAAAAATTCAGAACTGTAACAATTGACAGTTTAATAGAATTGTCAATTTTGTCTTATATCTCGAAAAGTAATAACGCATAAATCTTTATTGAAATTTCTTAATTTTAGTATTGTGTATCTATTTGTAAAAATGTAAAAAAATCTTCAGAACTGTCACAATTGACAGTTCAACAGAATTGTCAACTCTGTCTGATGTCTCGAAAAATAATAACGTATAAATCTGATATCACGAAAAGAAATAACGCTTAAATCTTTACTAGAAATTCTCAATTTTAGTATTGTGCATTTATTTGCAAATAATGTAAAAAAAATCTTCAGAACTGTCACAATTGACAGTTCAATAGAATTGTAAACTCTGTCTGATATCTCGAAAAGTAAATCCGAATAAGTCTTTAATAGAAATTCTCAATTTTAGTATTCTGTATTTATTTGCAAATAATGTAAAAAAAATCTTCAGAACTGTCATGAATGACAGTTCAATAGAATTGTCAACTCTGTCTGATATCTCAAAAAGTACTAACGCATAAATCTTTACTAGAAATTCTCAATTTTAGTATTTTCAATTTATTTGCAAATAATGTAAAAAATCTTCAGAACTGTCACAATTGACAGTTCAATAGAATTGTCAACTCTGTCTGATATCTCGAAAAGAAATAACGCATAAATCTTTACTAGAAATACTCAATTTTAGTATTGTGTATTTATTTGCAAATAATGTAAAAAAAATCATCAGAACTGTCACAATTGACATTTCAATAGAATTGTCAACTCTGTCTGATATCTGGAAAAGTACTAACGCATAAATCTTTATTGGAATTTCTTAATTTTAGTATTGTGTACCTATTTGTAAAAAATGTAAAAAAAAGTCTTCAGAACTGTCACAGAATTGTCAACTGTCTGATATCTCGAAAAGTACTAACGCATAAAACTTTATTGAAAATTCTTAACTTTTAATGTAGAAAATCATCAGATCTGTCACAATTGACAATTCAATATATCTTTCAATCTGTCTGATTGTAAAGTAAAACCAAATAAACTCTCAATTTTACTACCTAACAAGATAAATTAAGACGCACTTGATGAGACAGCTGTCACAATTGACAGTTTTCCCATCCATCTTTAAATCTCCAATGAAATTCAATTGAAATTCTTAAATTTTAATTTCTAAAGATATAAATGAAATCTACAAAGTAATAAAATCCGACAAGATAAATTGAGACGCACCCGGGGAGAAGGTCAGCTGTCACAATTGACAGTTAACGATAGATTTTCTCCACTCTCGTTGATATCTCCAAGGGAAACGAAAACAAAAATAAGAGGAAGAAAAAAAAAACAAGGAATGTTTTCCCTCTTCGCGGTGAAGCCTGGGTTCAGTAATGAAAAATGATTAACGATCGGATTTTCCGCGTGGCTAAAGTCGATTTCCTAATCCCCCCGGCAAATAAAGCCGCAAAGTAATTATTGGTTCAAATTTATTGCCTATCCTACAACAACAACAACAAAAAAAACAACAATATTTATGGTACATTTATGATGAATGAGCGAAGCAAAACTTATTTCCATCAGATTCAACCTGAATTCATTGTATTTTGTATAAATCTTACTTGAAAATCTTATTTTTTTTGAACACAATTTGTTTTCTCATGTTTATAGTCTCTAGTAATTTAATTTGTTCGGACATTTTCAAACCGGACTAATCGAAGCCGCACTGTGCGAGTTGATTTGTATATAATAAGTTAATAAAGTTTAATTTAGTTTAAGAGTTAAGACAGGGATCAAACTATTATCCTCCCAGAGATATTGATTAACTTTCAAAAGTCGTTAAACAACTGGCACAATTTTAATTACATTCTTCTCAACAACTAATTTTCTTACTTAATTAAAAATATAGTTCTTTTTTCATTTTCTTCTTCGCTTCGCCACAATAGAAATGAGTAATTATCAATTCCGAAAGTTTTCCAGAGGACAGAAAGAAAACGAAAACAAAACAAAAGTAGTGAAGTCTGGAAATAAAAATGTATAATTTCAGAGTTGTCATGGTAATTAATTCAAAATAAAAGACGCTCATGAGAGATAGAGAGAGAGAGAGATAAACTCAATTTGTTTGAGAGGAATTCATTTCTATTGATTTACCATACTTTGTTCATCCGTTCTTTTAATGGAATAGAAAGAAAAATAAACGATAGATGACGCTCATCTGCAATTTGACAGTTGGCACAGTTTTACGAATCGCAAGGCTTATGGTGCTTAGCTTAGAATTCAGATTTAATGACTGCGTTGCCATAGTTATGCAAAGTCTCATGTGTACTAAATATGGCGGATATATCCGTTGCTCGTCCACAAAGCGTAAATTAGGCGAGTGTATAGTATAATATAACCTTAATAAAACATTAATAAATGTGTGTTTAATGCGTTGGAAATTGAATCTCGAAAATAAGTTATTTCTTTGAAAAAAAAAACTAAATATAAGAAATGTCATACGTGAACGGACGAGACGATGGAAATAAAAGAAATAAGCATACGGTTGACATGGCGATAAGTATAGAAACCGGGAAAGCCATCTTCATACAAAAAAAAAAGATTGGTTTGTGAATGGAAATGATTACACGGTTGTCATAGTGATAAGTATTCGAACAATTGAAGCCATCTTTACGTAGCGTAAACAAACTAAGATTTATGCACTCACATTGATGATGGTCCTCGAGATGAAGAAGGCCACTTCCGCTTTGCACAGGGCGTCGAACTGCTGCAAAAGAAAAGAGTGTGATAACATTACGAAATGCATACATTATCGGGTGGTATGAGATAATTAAACCGGAAACGTAGAAGAGATTGGGAGAGAGAGAAAACATTCGTTAACGATGCGGTGGATGCGCCGGGTTCGCCACGTGCAATTGCGTGCGTGCAAAACCGGAAGCCGCAAAACCGAAATCCGACGTGACCGCAAATCCTCGCCGGTGACGTATTCCGGAAACTAACCTAAAACAAACGTTTTTTTTTTTTGGTGTGTTTCTTGTTTCCTCTACACGCGTCGCCTACTAAGATATTTAGTTTGATGTTGAAAATTTAAAAACATATATATATATATATTATTTTCATATATTACCTTCCAAATCCAACAAAGGGATAATATTTGTAAAGCAGCGTTATTAGTTTTAATGAAATTCGAATGAATTTTTAAGGGAGGAAAGGAGAAAAAAAAAATCTGGGATTTAATTAAATTTTATGAGAAATTCCTACTTCTGTTATTACGTTCAGTTCTAATTATAATTTAATTAAATTATACATTCTCATTATTAGTTTGATGAATTTAATCAAACGCATAGTTTATTTCACAAAAGTTAAGCAACTTAATCGAAAAAATCAAACTTAAAAATGTTGTGTATTTTTATTTATTTCATCAATTATATCAAATAATTTTATAATATTGCTAGTTAAGCAATCCGTAACATGAATTGGTGACCCACAAAAGTCTTTATATAAAAAAACAAAATCCCAAATGTCCAATTAGAAACGAACGCTGATTCTGCTATTTTTTTTCAAAACATATTGACTTTGCTTTTCACAATATATATATAAAAAAAACTTGTATGTGAGATTGTGTTTCATGTAGGGGTTTTATCGAATGAGCAGAGTGGAAAAAACTACAAAAAAAAATCAATTAAAAATAAATAATTTAATTATTGTATGCGTTTGTTTCTAAAGCAAACATGAACTTCACACAAGCGAAATTCTGTTATATTTTTTGTTAAAACAAAAAAGGAAATATACGCGTAATGCATGTGTATATTTATTTTTTTTGTTTTTGTTTCAGAGAGGGGAAGCTGAAAAAATACACATGATTGATTTCAAGAGCATCGCGTATGTTGGAGTTGTATACAAAATAAAAAAAAGGTCAACGAGTTATGTGAAAAGAGTGAATGGTAATTTGTCAAAACACGGAATTCTACATTATTTCTATATGTATAGAGATAAAAATAATAATAATATGAAAAGATAGAGCGTTAATTGATGTTGACTTTAACGGATAGTTAATCCGTTGTTTAATTATCGTTATCATTGATGCTTCTGATAAAACAATTGCTACTGTTGATAATAATACTAATTAATAATAAATCAATATGGATGCGAAACAATAGAAGTTACGTCAAAATAAATTGATCATTTTCTTAATTAATTTGTATCTAATTAGCATTAGTAAATTTTATGCTTTGTATTTATAAAGTATACGTATTTCGTGCATCATTTGACAGTTGACAGTGACAATTGACAAGTTAATTGGATGTCAAAATAAATTGACAATTTTTATAATCAATTTGTATATAAATAGTATAGTAAAGAAAATATATTGTATTTATGATGGTAACGCACTTAGTGCAAGTTTGACATTTGACACTGACAATTGACAAGTTATTTGGTTGTCAAAATAAATTTACATTTATTTTAATTTACAATTGACAACTTAATTTGATGTCAAACTATATTGACAATTTTTATAATTAATTTGTATACAAATAGTATAATAAATAGTATTAAGAAAATATATTGTATTTATGACGAAAACGCATTTAGTTCAAGTAATCTTATGACGTTTGATGGGAAACAATAGAAGTCATGTTAAAATAAATTGATCATTTTCTTAATTAATTTGTATGTAATTAGCATTAGTAAATTTTATGCTTTGTATATATTAAGTATACATATTTCGTGCAAGTAATCATTTGACAGTTGACACTGACAATTGACAAGTTAATTGGATGTCAAAATAAATTGACAATTTTTATAATCTATTTCTATATAAATAGTATAGTAAATAGTATTAAGAAAATATATTGTATTTATGATGATAACGCATTTAGTCCAAGTTTGACACTGACAATTGACAAGTTAAATTTAGTTATTTCGGACAAGTCAACACTTGATAATTAACATTGACAATTGACAAGTTAATTTGATGTCAAAATAGATTGAAATTTTTTATAATTAATTTGTATAAAATATATTGTTTTTATGACAATAACGCATTTAGTGCAAGTAATCATATGACGTTTGATACTGACATTTGAAAAGTTAATTGGATGTCAAAATAAATTTACAATTTCCTGAATACATATTGTATTGATGAAGTATACTCATTTCATGAAAGTAATCATATGACATTTGACACTACTTGGTTGTCAAAATAAATTTACATTTATCTTACTTTACTTGTCAGAAAATTTAGATAATTTGATAATTGACTACTGACAAGTTATTTGGCTGTCAAAATAAATTGACAGTTTTCTCTGTTAATTTGACTATAATTTAATAATTTTCTCTAGAAACTATGAGGTTATTGTCTAAGAAAGTATATTTACTAAAAAAAAATGATAGTGAAGTTATGAAGTATAAGTAGTTATAACTTTAAAGAAGTAGTATTAGTGTATATAATTGTAGCTCTAAAAAAAAACTTCTGTTAATATGTAAGCATAAGAACTGCGATGTACACTGCAGAAACTGTATTGATTGGAAATAATGGAAATCGTAGGCAAATGCAATGCGGTGGATGTAATCCGTTTAATAATATAGTCAGTCGGTGTAATAAAGAGCAAGAAAGAAGGACATTAAATGTCTTTTAGAAATTGAGCGAAACGTAGAGAGAATATTTGGTTTCGCCACGGGTATTCGAAACGAAACGAGCGAATTATTCCCCAGAGTAGTCGTTTGAAAGGACTAAAGTGAAAAAGCAATACAAGTACGCACTGGAAAACATTCAAGTTTAAATACATAGAAACAAATAAATCCACATAATTGATATTAGATTACAATTCTTTTCATTAGTCGGCCTTTATATTTTGTCTGAATTTGAAAAGATCTTTAAAAACCAAAAAAAAAAAAATGGGGTTAATTAAATTTTGCAACAAAGAAAAATGTAACAGCGACATCTTTCCTTTGCATTCTTAATAATATTAAAGTAAGTGTTTTCATTTTCCTTGAAAGTATTCAAAGACTAAATTTCCTATGGTCATTTTCAGTGGAAAAGAAATAATACAAACAGCGACATCTTTGAAATAATTATATAATAATTGTAATTTTTATAAATTTTGCAACAGCGACACTTTTTGATATCTTTGAAGGTAGCTCTTAAGAGTTCACTATCGAAAAGATAATTTCTACTTTGAGAAGTCTCATCCTGAGGTTGAAAAGTTTTATGTGCGAGTGGAAATGGGAAAGCCAATAATACCAACGGTAGTGACGGTAATAATAATAATAAAAAAAAAGAAGAAGAAATCTGTATGCGGAATGTGAGTTGCTGGGAAACTTGGAGAGGAATGGTCATGGCACTCTCTACAAACGTGAAGTCGGACAGAAAACTCTTCGCTCATATCGGGGATAGCTTGAAAGGATCGCAGACCGACAAAAAAAGAGAACAAGAAGAAATCTCAAAGAAAAGTAGGAAGAGAAGAAAGAAAAAAAAATAGCGAAGACGTGCGGGTTCATTAATCTTTCGAAATCGTTTTGCTCTCTGCAATGATTGATACACAAAACGTCCGCACTTTAAACCTTTTGTCTATCTAAACATCTCAATCCGGACACATTTTTTTTTGTGTGTGTTATCGTCCCATTCAAGTGGATAAGAAACGTAAAAGCATCGTTGATCTTTTGTGTTTCGTGGGGACGTTTATTAATTGATCGACTGTAGAAGCGATATCCTACAGTTGGAAAGTTTTGTAAATGATCGAAAATTAATGAAAAAAGCAACATCTCTCGTTAAAAAACAAGTATAATAGCATACTCCAACAAAATATTTAGTTTTTAGTGTTTTAGATGATTCAGGTAAAACTATGCATATAAATTGCAATTTAATTAATAAATACTGACAATTATTATTATTAATACTGTAACTGTCAAATAAATGCGATATACGTATTTGATTTTGACAGTATAACTGTCAAATTTCACACAATTGTAGATTGACGTACAGATTTGACAGCACAAATGTCATTCTAATTGGTAATAGGAATGTCATCGATATTTTTTGTTTATATAAATGGAAATTAACCTACAGAATATGATATAATTAACAGATTCATAAATGACACAATAACTGTAAAATAAGAAATTGATGCAGTTTGACAATGATACTTGTCATATATTGAAAAACTATAGTTTGACGTACAGATTTGACAGCGTAAATGTCATTCCGTTTGACAATTGAAGGATATACGATGGCTGCATTTATTGTTTATTTATTATTTGGATTGTTATATGTGTTATAGCATTGCTTGTCCTACAAAATTCAATTTAGTTAATAGTCATTAATATAACCTACAAAGATGAAAATGTCAAAAACAATGTGTATGTCAAACTGATACACACACACACATTTGTTTTTGACAGTAAAAATGACGTACAAATTTGACAGTATAAATTTCATCCAGCTTGTGACATGAAAATCTATTTTTGATATAAATAGGAAATGAAGTGGATAAGAAACGTAAAAGCATTGTTGATCTTTTGTGTTTCGTGGGTATGTTTATTAATTGATCGACTGTAGAAACGATATCCTACAGTTGAAAAGTTTTGTAAATGATCGAAAATTAATGAAAAAAGCGACATCTCTCGTTAAAAACAAGTATAATAGCATACTCCAAGAAAATATTTAGTTTTTAGTGTTTTACATGATTCAATAAATACTGTCAATTCAGTATTATTAATACTATAACTGTCAAATAAATGCGATATACTTATTTGATTTTGACAGTAGAATGACGTACAGATTTGACGTAAATGTCATTCCGTTTGACAATTGACGTATATATGATGGCGACATTTATTGTTTAGTCATTGTTTATTATACATTGAATTGTTATATGTTTGATAACAATGCTTAACCAACAAAAAATACAGTTTAATTAATAGGCAATACTATAACTGTCAAAGATGAAAATGCAAAAATTTCAACCAGTGAAACTCTATACATGAAAATCTATTGTTGTTATAATACGAAATGAAGTTAATTAAAAAAAAGTTACCTTGTTGACGTGATCTCTGAGGACGTTTGAGTAGACCATGGCGACAGCTTCCAAAGCCATGAAAGTGATGAATCCTATGACCCAGGGAAGGATCAAGGACGAGTTTTCCTGGAAACCAGAGAGAAGAGGGTACAGAGTGAACAAATGCACATAAATTACACACACCGGACTAGGACGATGCGAAACAAAGCATAAGAAAAAAAAAAAAAAGTGGAGGTCGGAAAACCGCGAGGATTAATGTCGACCAATCTCCTCGGTCGGTGGGGTTAATTTATCTTTGCCGCCAAAGAGGAGTTACCGAACGAAAGTAATCTTTTGTTGTTGTTTTGTTTTTAATATAGCGGCGACAGGACGAAAGATGTCAGGGTTTAATTAAATGTGTGTCTGTGTTCAATCAATGCACGTTTCCTTCAGGGTTTTAGTGCTAGCATAGGATCATGTATAATAAAAAGAAAAACTAGAGTAAACACATGGTCAGAGGACGCTTCGAAGGGGATGTATACATAGAGAGAAGGATAAGCAGGGAGAGGATTGAAATGCGCGGCGAATTGGAATGGAAATGTCGTATTTAGAATGGGAAGTTAGTGCTGCCAATAAAGGCTCATAGCTCGAGTCGAGTCCGCTTGTTTTCTTCCTTCCTTCCTTCCTTTATCTTTATCGTTCTTCCATCCTTTTCTTTGCTCAGCCTCCCTGTTTTCCATCCATTCTTTTTGATGCAGAAGCACGAGATTTGAATATGGAGACATTCCGTTCATACACGCTATTGAATCAATAAATCTCTCTCTATCTATCTCTCTACCTCCTCGAAACATCTGTGATAAAATTTATGTAAATCGCCTCTATTCATCCCTCGAAATACACACGCACACATGCACACATACTCTCTTCGAATTCCATAAAACCGGGCATATTGCTCCGTATAAATCACACCGGTAGTGAACATATTGCCTACATCTCAACTAATTTAAAACTAAAACAAGGCGAGGGAACAACGAGCAAAGGAGAAGCTGGAGAAAAATCGCGCGAGAGTTTCCACCATTTTTCATCCGCAACATTTTTTTTTCTTTCTTTTCTTCTTCTTTGCGAAAACTTTAATAAATTGGATCAACGAGCGAATAACAAATGATGCACATACAAACAATTCAATTACAAGAAATAAAGAAAGTAAACACAAAAAAAATGTACACACATTTCGCGAATGAAAACTATTATTCTTCATTTCAAAAACTTTCTCAAGAAATATATTTTTCCTCACATCTTCTGTTTAACTTAAATAAGCTATTATGTGTCAACTGTCAAATTTATGTCAATTTAATAAGAAGCTATTATAGCAATTGATATAAAACTGTCAAAGTGACAATTAATAAGAATCTATTGTGACGATTAACACAGAACTGTCAAATTGATAATTAATAAGAAGCTATTATAGAAATTGACACAAAACTGTCAAAGTGACAATTAATAAGAATCTATTGTGACGGTTGAAACAAAACTGTCAAATTGATAATTAATAAGAAACTATTATAAAAATGGACACAAAACTGTCAAAGTAAAAATTAATAAGAATCTATTGTGACGGTTGACACAAAACTGTCAAATTGACAATTAATAAGAAGCTATTATAGCAATTGACACAAAACTGTCAAAACGATTATGAATAAGAATCTAATGTGACAGATGACAAAACTGTTAAATTTATTATTAATCGTTTAATTCATTGTTAATACTAACTATATTATTATTTAAGAGTATAAAGCTGGTGCGTGAAAGGTGCGTTTAAGAAATGAGATGAATATTTTAAGGGATGAAATAATAAAAAAAAATGTTAATGATAAATAGGTTTGGAGAATCCAATTTGGCGGGGGCGGGACGTTAAAAAATAGTATGGAAAACAATCTGTCATTTTGACAGTTTAATTTGCATCGCCCCGAGGAGGTTACATTCAATTTATCAGATGATAACAGTGGAGTAAGAAACCGACGAAAGATGCATAAACATCATGTGCACATGAGATAAACTGGCAGCGCATAAATTTACATAAGAATAACGTTTGAAGCGACATCTCTTGTTCTGTATTTAGTTGTATTATTGGGCAAAAAACAAAACACAGTTAAATATAATAAAAAAAAAGAGAGAAGTTTGTTGGAAACAATGTTTCATTTGAAGGACGAAACAAATCAGTTTAAGGTCAAATAATTGTAATATTCGAGGAGAGAAACTTGTTAAAGATCGAAGAAAACAGAGGGGAAAGAAAAAACACACATAATAACAAGAAAACTTTATCATCGTCCTTGCGAATTTTCTGCTAAACGCATGCCACGGCATATGGCCACCCTTCGTGAAAAAAAAAAGAAAGAAAAAGAAACTGATCCTCCTCGATTTCGTCTAATGAAGGACGATGGCGAATCGAAGCATGAAATGACTGAAAGAGAGGGCCCAGACACTCCGAAAGACCCTGTTCTTGTCATTCCATCTATCTGCCTCTCTCTTTCTCTCTCTCACACACTCACTCACAGACATACAGAGAATGTCTTCCTCTCCTCTTCGACAGATTCGATTATCCGAATTCGCGCACCAGGACCTGACACAAATTGAAAGCAACCGAAGGAAAACAAAGCAAAAGCAGACAACAGAACAACAACAAAAAAAATCGAAACGCTCTCTCTTTTCACGGTAATTACGATAGAGTCTCGAAACCAGTCTCTGTTTTCAACTTGAATTACGGCCTGATATAAATTCATTAAGGACCAAAAAAAAAACTTTAATTATCGTAGTGCTCTATAATTAAATTCCTACCAGTCAATTTGTATGCTCCAATTTACATCTCGTCTCCTTATTGATTCAATAAGTAATTGTTTTATGAAAGTAATCTTAATACCTTAACAATTGTTTTATTGCAAGACAAAAAAGAAAAATTTAATTTGGCGCCATCTATTGGAAAAAAAGATAAATAAGAAACGATTAAGTATTGTTAGATACAGGCTATTTGCTAGTTTTATTTATACGAATGTTTGTCTCAGTTTCGGTTGGTATTAGTGGAAGATTGAACGGTCTTTGAACTGAACAGAGTGGAGTCAATTTCTCTCTTTTCTCTCATCTGTTGCAAATCCTCATCCCACAACTCGACTCGTATTCCTCCCCATTCTCCTCTCTCTCTCTCTTTATCTTTCCTATACGACGAATTGATAGACACCAAGGGAGGAGAGGCAGATAAACGATTTGTTTTTTGCTCTGTTCAGGCTCGAGGATGGTGGAGTGGTGGGATGGGTGACGGATAGAGAGAACATCGAGAGAAGAAAGAAAAAAAATCGAAGAAGAGAAGAGACACGGTCGTGCGTTTGTGATGTTACGAAATACGCAAGTGATCGTTGGAGGAAATGATGCTGGGTGATCGATTGCAAAGTGAACACAGACACCAAAAAAAAAAACAGAAGAATGAAAAATAGGTAAAAAAAAAGCGAAGCGGTCTTTACGTTTATCTTTTGGGTCTCCGACAATTTTTTTTTTCATCAAATGTTTTCAAAAAATCTTTTGTTCTATACACATTTTGTTTATACAAAATGGAGTGCAATGGTTACAGCTGATATAAATGTTAATGGCGGCCAATTTATGACATTTTCATTTTATTTAAAGTGACAGTGACAGCTGTCATTTCACAGTTTGAGAAACGCTGTTACAGTACATAAAAACAACCGAAGTTTCAATTGCAAATCACTAGCGCAAAAAAAAACATTTTCAAAACAGAGTTTCACGTGCGTCGACAAATGGGAAAACTTAATTTTTAATATTTCAAACGGGATCGATTTTCCCGCCGATTCCGGGAAATATTTCAGTCGTTCAACAACTGTAATTTTCGTTCCACGGTTTCGTTATGTTTTTTTTTTTTGTTCTCTCTCCCTCTGTGTGTACTTTCATCGCACAGAATTGTACGCTATTTGTACATGCAGCCACGTCAACTATTCATGTTCACACAGAACGCTAATTTGACATTGACATACAGAAATGAAAAGGCGAACGGAGAAATTTGAACTACGAACTCTTTTGTTTTACTTTCCAATAAAGCGATCCTCGTGTAATAAATAAAATCGATGTGTTCGCATTTTTCCGAGTAAGAATTGTAAATGATCGTTAACATCTGTCCGTTTCAATTTATTTCGTATATTTATGAAAAAAAAAAAGTTATGTGGATATTTTTTTTTCTATAAAAATATGGGCGGATATATCCGCCGCTGGACAAAAAACGCCTGAAAGTCGCCACCGTTCACAGAAGTATAATATAGTAATTAAAAATTGAAGCAGAAGTTTGAAGAAAAAAAGCATTTAGTAAGTGAAATTTCATAATGAGATTGCATTAATTAATTAACGAAATTAATTATACTTGAGGTGTATCAATTGAAACTCGGTATTCAGCTGTGTTTATGCACAATAGCAGAGTTTCTCAAACTATGAGTGTACATTGTGTCAAACTGTGTTGATATTCAACGCGTCATAAAAGAAGCATTACCATTTTGTTTCGTAACCATTTGTTTTCTGCTGAGGTTATGTTACATTTTTATTTGACAGCTGTGTAATGTCAACTATACAATTGTATTAGCGAAAATGTCAAAGCTGAATTATCAATAATAAATATTGTTAAAACAAAACTGATAATGCTTTATATATTTTAATATTTCGTTAAAATTTGTTTTAAGAAACACAAATATTTCACAAATATTTGAGGTAGACACGATCTTCTGCTATGAAGCGTAATCGCATCGACGTTTCATTATTTTTCGGAAAATCGCATTTGAATTTCAAATGTATTCCCATTTAAATTGCACGCAAAAATGTGCACTTCATCTCTAAACCGCGAGTCTCATCCGCATTCCAGATTTTTTTCTCTCTCGAAATTCGCATCCTGGTTATTTTTATGGTTCGCCTTCCTCCATCACCTTTTGTCATTCAAATGTATTTTTTTTTGTTATGTATTCGAGAGTCTCGCATTTCCTATCTCGCCGCTTGATATAAAAGATTTTCCCCTCTTTTGTTGACTTAACAAAGTCTATTGAATGAGGACAAAAAGAAATTGGCTATAATCCAATGGTGGCAATCGTTATAGTTTAAAAGTT